CAGAACACATAAATACTCCAAAACATTACCCTTGAAGAACTTCACTGTGAGACCTCCCATGAATCTATTTAAACTACCCCAGTTAAACATACTCCTTCAGCTGAACCCCAACAGCAGTTCGTATATGGAATCTCACAGACCCTATATTACCATTCATTCTATAAAAAGCACAAATTTCCATCACTTCTGATTGAATGCCTAAAGCAAGGGTAAGCTAGCTTTTGGGCCAAGAGTACATCATATATAATGTCCTCCCCACCTCCTCATCTTTGGGGCAAGAGGACAGAGTCACTTTTTTTTTTTTTTAGAAAAAGTGGATAGGGCAGTGAAACAGCAGGGGGCAGGTAGGTAAGGAAGGTTTCATGGATGGCTGCCACAGAAGTTGCTTAGCAAGTATTTCAAGGTGGATCTGGAGCCTGCTCCTCTTTCTCATCTTTCAGTTCTTTCTAAAAACTCAAGGCAAATGATCCCCAGAAAAAAAATAAGGAATAGACATTGGAAGGATGGGGGATACATTAGTGAGGCTCTCTGGAAATGCATGGTGTCCATAGACATCATTCTGCTGTTAGTGTAAATAAGATGAAAAAGGGAACACATATCCTGTTTCATCTGTTCTGAGTCACCACTGAATTGGGTTGCTCTCATTTTTTGCAGGTACCATTTGTGATGGGCAAAGAGATCAGTTTAATCTTCTTGCTTTGCTGCCTTCCATCTTCAGAACATCATGAGTTATTTGGAAAAACATTCACCAATCACAGCACCAGAGGAAGAATGGGATGATCTGGCTTCAAGCTCTGCCTTTTCTTTTTTGGCTGTTTTGTACACACCTCCCCTTACACCCCCTTCTGTCATAGCACAAGTTTAATTCAGTGTTTTGAAAAAAGAATGACAAAAACAGCTGAGCTGATAGCAGCAGTTCTTGGGAGAGTGCACTTAGGATTTCTTTCCCTTCCCCATCATTTCACTGCCTGCTATTTCAGCCTTCACAAAATTGGGAAAGACCATAGTAAGCTAGAACATCCTAGCATTTTTGCACCAATCCAGTTATCTAATGACACAATTTTTTACATTTTAAAAGTACCAAAGTCTCCTTCAAGTCCAGCTAGAATCCTAGTGACTACATGGACATGTCTAGTCTTCTTAGCAAAAATACTCAAAAATACTATTTTATATTTTCTTCATATTTCACATGCAAAGTTGTGTCCAGCTCAAGCGGATAAATAAGACTGTAGTGTATGCTCTACCACCATTGCACAAATCAAGAGTATAACTGACAAAGCAGGAACCCCTGCTCCAACTGGTTTATATTAATTAATTAATTAAGAAAGGTCTCCAAATCATGCTTGAATCCTGTTAACTATAGTAATTTCTCTGTAGTTTTTCTGACATTACACATGCCACTGGATCCACCTCTTTAAGGAGAGAATAGCAAAATGCTGGATGAAGAGGCTGACTGGGGGCCAGAGGGGTCGGGATATGGTCCCACCTGCCTGAAACACCCAACCAGCATCACTTCCCCCACTGGTCATCTGACTTTGTTTCCAAGGTAATGGATAGAGAAGAGTAACAGATTTTACATACCTTGAAGATGTCCTCAGAAGATGTTGGAATAAGGGAGAAAAGAGTTTAATATAGTCTCACTTGCGGACTGGAGATGAAATGGGGCAATATCATGCAGACAAGGGAGGAAATTGCTATTGTCAAGGAGTCATTTAACCAGTAACTGGTTAAATGGAAGGAGGATACAGCCATAGATAGGTCTCACACATTACACTAAGTCATCTTGTGGCTTACTTGGTTTTGGCTCAGCATATTGTCCTTATATTTGTAAGCATATTAGATGGTAGGACAGGGCAAACTATAGCCCCTGAACCTCATTTTAGCTCCTCTGCCCCTTGTTTCCTGCTATTTTGAGTGGGAAACACATTAAAACTGTAGCATATGTCCTAAAATAGGTATAATAACTTTGCATAGTACTTTGCAAAAGTTTTTTAAAAAATTACCCTAAGTTCCTAAAAGCCAAGGAAAAACATTGATAATCCTGGTCATACCCATGTACATATTGCACCACTAGGTTTGCATCATTCCCCCACCTGTTAGGGTGTTCAAATGCCTCAAAAATTATGTCCTGCAAAATATGAAGTATAGCTCTCAGCCACAAAAATGCCCACTCTTGGTTTATGGCATGATGGATGAACCCAGCCACACAATTAAAATTCAAGAATTCTGAGCCCAGGAATATATAGAGAAACCGAAGAGAATTCAATGCCCTACACTCCTAGTTATCTCAAGCTGTGTTTACTTCATCAGGATATTTAGAGGTAGTGGGAAGTAATTTTCTTGCTGCTGCACACTTGGGATTTAGAAATCCTTGCCAATCTACTGTAAATTGCTGACAAATTTATTCTCAGATTCAGATTTATCTTCTGCTCGCCTTATTTAGACCACAGAAAATAACTTGCTTTTGCTCTGTGCTGCTCAACTCTACATTGAATATAGCAGCAGGAACAGACACAATCTATTGTTTCTTTGGACATACAGGGCACTGAGGGGGTTAAGATATTTTTAAATCAAAGAGATCATTATGCCAGAATAAGTAATAGTGTCTTTAAACCTGAATAATACTTGAACCAAAACCAACCTGAAAATATTCTACAGTCACAACTTGAAAATCTATTCCTCAGGGTCACTACCCTTTTACAGCGTGAAGATTGCAGACACATCTCTTTTACTGAAGTGTATTTAAATTATAAAATGGGCATATGATTTTCACAGATTACAGTATACAGCAAAGAAGTGTGTATATATGTGTGTGAGTGTGTGTGTATACGTGTAAAATATTTCATGACCCTCTTATCCAGAACCAAATGCAAAATATGTTTATCTAGAAATGAAGATTAGGGAATCTCTGAACATATTCAGAACTCAATTTGTTAGGTAACTGAGTTAAACAATAGTCTTTTCAAACATGAATCCACTTCTAATTACCCCAAGAGTCATAACCTTTTGGAGGTCTGCTGCAGGTTCTATTAGATCTATTGCTTTCCACCCATCTCCAGTGTATTCACCTGCATCAGTCTATATCCGCATTGAAAAAGCATAGCTGTAAAGTTGATATCAGATGCCTGTTTTCCACATATTGAGAACACAATAGCTCACCAAATTTAGTTAAAATCATGGATTTTCAATATAATTTAAATGTTATCCTGCCCATGTTTTTCTTTTCACTTGACAAATGGAATAGTCTCAAATATTTAAGAGTGTGCCATTAGAACAAAAACAACCCTTTACTGCACGTAGATAATTTGGGAATGTTAAAACAGTTTGTTTTCAGCTTTCCTTTTTTTTAAAAACTCCATTAGTGCTCTTTTGATAATAACACTCATAATTTGCCACCAGGTTACTTTTCTGGCATTTAACACATGTGGTAATGTTAACCCTATACTGCATGTATTTTGGGATACCACAGTGACTTTTTAAGCAGTCACCAGACAAGACTTTTCCATGTTGCAATAGATGAACAAGTGTTTGAGATGTTCCTGGTTAAGAGATTTTCTAAACAAAGCAACATTTCTCTACTACTTTTCAGGTAGAAAACCAATTACTGTATAGTACATTTTCTGAATGCTTTGTCCATTTGCATTGCAAAGGGTAAGGCTGCCCTCTAGTGAGGCAATGCTACAATTTGAGTGAGTAACACGTAGATCTGGATCTCCTATGACAATGTGCCAGAGCACTGAGGAGTAAAATACCCTCCTCCATGCTCTTGTAGAAATATATGAGGGACCTTATGTAAATCAAACTCTGGTTCATTTAATATTCCCTGACTGTGGGAAATTAACATATCCCCAAACCCTTCAGGAAAAGGAGTCAGCAGCATCCTTCTCAAATTCTCTATGGAAGCCAGGCAGATCAAATTTCTCTCCAGATTCTCCCCCCTTCAGTGCTTTTAAAAACCCTCCATTTCCTTAAAAGAGATTATATGTTTCAAGTAAGTATTAAATGCCTTCATTAAATTATTTGGAGAGATGTATCAGAAAATTTACCATACAATATACAATTTGCATAATGATGCCTGCTTTCTGCAAGCTGAAAAAAATGAACTAAGAAGCAAAAGAACAACTATAAATATAACTGAGTATTCTGAAACAGGTGCAGCTCCAAGCCCCTTGAGCAGCTAGTGACAAATTTGTTTCCTGCTGTTTTGAGGTGTGTGTATGCGCGCGTGCACACACGCGCCTTTGAGTCAGTGTTGGCTCCTGGTGACTGCCTGGACAAGTCCCTGCAGTTTTCTTGGCAAGATTTCAGAAGTGGCTTGCCATTGCCCTGCTTCTTAGGGCTCAGAGGGTGTGAGTGGCCCAAGGTTACCCAGCAGGCTTCGTGTCTAAGGGACTAGAATTCATGGTCTCCGGGTTTCTAGCCTGGTGCCTTACCCACTACACCAAGCTGGTTTTGAGGTGGGAAACACATAGCAAAAAGGAGCTGGCCTGTGTTACAAGAAGGCTCCTCCAGAGAAAATCAACAGAAGGGATGTCTCAGAATGAGATCAGGCAACACAATTCCCCCATCTTTCAGAGCTCTACAACAAGCACCTACATGCTATTGCTCAATTCTCCTAATAAAACCAGGCTATAAATCAGTCAAACAGACAGATAGCTTCGGGGGGATAGGGAGGGATGCATGCAGAGTATATTATTATACAAGAGTTGGAGTAAACTATATTATACAGACAACCTCTCCTGTCCCTTCATCAAAGCTCTCCATGCAGGCATGCCTATTTATTATTGTATTACTGATAAAAGATTTTTGACGTTGACAGCTTGTATGGTGATTGTATTTAGGATACATCCAAGTGGGAGTTTCCTATATGTCCACTTACAGCCAGAAATTCAAGCAGTATCATGGGCAACTGAAGGAATTTTTACCCATGGATAAACCCAGG